CTCCATGGGATCCCAAAGAACTCAATGGGAACCCAAAAATCTCAATGGGACAGCAAAAAAGTCATTGGGAACCCAAAAATCTCAGTGGGATCCTAAAGAACTCAATGGGAACCCAAAAATCTCAATGAGATCCCAAAGAACCCAACGGGAACCCAAAGATCTACATGGGATCCCAAAGAACTCAACGGGAACCCAAAAATCTCCATGGGAAACCCATAAATCTCAATGAAATCCTAAAGAACTCAATGGGAAACCCAAAAATCTCAGTGAGATCCCAAAGAACTCAACAGGAACCCAAAAATCTCCATGGGAACCCAAAGAACTCAATGGGAAGCCAAAAATATCAATGAGATCCCAAAGAACCCAACGGGAACCCAAAAATCTCAATGAGATCCCAAAGAACTCAACGGGAAACCCAAAAATCTCCATGGGAACCCAAAGAACTCAATGGGAACCCAAAAATCTCAATGAGATCCCAAAGAACCCAACGGAAACCCAAAAATCTCCATGGGATCCCAAGAATCTCAATGGGAACCCAAAGAACTCAATGGGAACCCAAAAATCTCAATGAAATCCCAAAAATCTCAATGAAATCCCAAAAATCTCAACAGGAACCCAAAAGTCCCAAGGAAACCCCTCAAGGCTGTAAGACCCCAATTCAGGCAGATCCCATTTCATGCTTTAAATTTATAAAAATTCCCAAATTCACAAGAAAATTCCTATTTATGGGATGTCCCCAAATCCATGGGGACCTCACAAGCCATAGAGCAAACCCCAAACTCTGGGGAAACTCCAAATTTCAGGAGGAAACCCCAAATCCATGGGGAAACCCCAAACCCATGGGGAAACGTAAATCCATGGGGAAACCCCAAATCCATGGGAAACCTCAAACTATGGGGAAACCCCAAATCCATGGGGGAACCTCAAATCCATGGGGAAACCCCAAATCCATGGGGAAATCCCAAATCCATGGGGGAACCTCAAATCCATGGCGAAACCCCAAACCCATGAGGAACCTCAAACTGTGGAGAAGCCCCAAATCCATGGGGAAACCCCAAACTATGAGGAAACCCCAAATCCATGGGAAACCTCAAACTATGGGGAAACCCTAAATCCATGGGGGAACCTCAAATCCATGGGGAAACCCCAAATCCATGGGGGAACCTCAAATCCATGGGAAACCCCAAACTATGAGGAAACCCCAAATCCATGGGGAAACCCCAAATCCATGGGGGAACCTTAAACTATGGGGAAACCCCAAATCCATGGAGAAACCCCAAATCCATGGGGAAACCCCAAACTACCAGGACTCACCCACTCCAGAGGGAGCCCCCCAAGTCTGTGGAGATCCCAAATCCCTTGGGGACCCCAAAACCCCCCTGGGGACCCCAAAACGTCCCCCCCATGTCCCCCTCACTCACAGCTGGCGGGAGTAGAGCCCCTCATCGATCTCGGCCTCGGCCCCGTTCTTCGCCATTCCCTGGGGACACAGGGGACAGCGGTGTCACCACGGGGACACTGAGGGGCCAGCGGTGCCACCAGGGGACAGAGGGGACAGCGGTGTCACCACACGGACAGCGGTGTCACCACGGGGACACTGAGGGGCCAGCGGTGCCACCAGGGGACAGAGGGGACAGCGGTGTCACCACAGGGACACTGAGGGTGCCAACGGGTGCTGTGACACCCTGGGACGGGGTGACAGCAGGGATGGCACGGTGGCATTGTTGAGGGGACATTGTTGAGGGGACATTGGGGGACCTGGGGGACAAATGTCACCCTCAGGACAAAGAGAGGGACAGCAAAGGACAATAATTGTCACCAAAGCATTGTTAATAAAGTGACCCTGAATGGACTGAAGGGACGTTGAGGGACATGTGCCACCACCAAGACCCACAGGTGACACCTTGTGGGTGACACCGCCCATTTGGGGACAAATGTCACCCCCAAGAGAAAGAGGAACAGGAAATGACCCTGAGCAGAGTAAGGGGACATCGAGGGACAGCCCCAAGACCCACAGGTGACACCAGGTGACACCACGCCCCCAGCAGCAGCTCTGAGGTGACAATGACACCAGGGGCTGCCCAGAGAGTGACAAAGCCCCTGTGGGTGGTCCAGGGTCCCCGAGGGGTTGGTGGCACTCAGGAGGGGATGGTGGCACTCAGGAGGGGTCGGTGGCACTCAGGATGGGACAGTGGCACTCAGGATGGGGTTGGTGGCACTCAGGGGGCATTGGCAGCACTCAGGAGGGGTTGGTGGCACTCAGGAGGGGTTGGTGGCACTCAGGAGGGGATGGTGGCACTCAGGATGGGACAGTGGCACTCAGGATGGGGTTGGTGGCACTCAGGATGGGTTGGTGGCACTCAGGGGACATTGGCGGCACTCAGGGGGGGTTGGTGGCACTCAGGATGGGGTCGGTGGCACTCAGGATGGGTTGGTGGCACTCGGGGGGGAGGGGGTCGGTGGCACTCAGGGCGGGTTGGTGGCACTCGGGGGGGTCGGTGGCACTCACGTTGGCGGGGGTGACGCTCGGGGACACGGCGGGGGCAGGGGCACGGCTGGAGCCCGTCGGTGGCTCTGACCCAGAGACGCGGCGCTTCTTCGACAGCGGGGAGCTGGACATCTGGGGACAGGGACAGGGACATCAGGGACAGTCAGGGACAGCTGGGACATCTGGGGACAGTCAGGGACATCAGGGACAGCTGGGGACAGCTGGAGACAAGGACAGTTGGGAGACAGGTCAGGGGATATCTGGGGACAGGTCAGGGGACGGCTGGGGACAGAGACACTCAGGGGACACATGGGGATAGGGACACATCAAGGGACAGCTGGGGACACCTGGAGACAAGGACAGGTCAGGGGACACACAGGGACAAAGAGAGGGTGGGGACATCCATGGGCAGAGGGGAGCTGGACATCTGGGGACAAGGATGGGGTCAGGGCACATCTGGGGACATCCAGGGACAGCAGCGAACTGGACATTTGGGGACAGGGACAGAAGCCAGGCAGGGTCACACGGGGACAGTGCTGGGGACAGCAGGGACACTGGGAGAGACACAGGGTGGTGCTGGGGGCAAGAGGCGACATTTGTGGTGCCCTGAGATCACCAAGAGCAGGGGGTGACACACAGGGGTGGCACTGAACAGGACGCAGCGACACATAAAGTGACAAGAGGTGACACCAGGGACAGGGGATGATGCTGGAGGTGACACCAGGTGACACCGGAAGTGGCAGTGAGAGACAGGAGGGATGGAGAGGGTGATGCAGGGTGACACCAGGTGACAGCGGGGACAGGGAGGGTGACAACAGGTGACACAGACGGTGACACCGGCTGAATGGGGTCACGGGCGGGGCCACCAGGTGCGACAGCCCCCGTGCTGTCCCATTGGTTGTCACCGCCCCAGTGACACCGGGGACGGGCAGGGCGACACGCAGGGATGGAGGGACACACAGAAGGGTGGGGAGGGACACTTGGGGACAGCGAGGTGGCACTGGGGGACATCAGACCACACCAGCACCCCCAGACCCAGGCACGGCACCGCCCCCCGCCCCTGAGAGCGCTCCCAGCACCGGGGGGTCCCGGGGGTCCCATCCCGGGGCGATCCCGCCCCCGGGGCCTCCCTTGCGGGGCTTCCCCATTAAGCGAGGCGGGTTCCCCATCCCCGGGGGTCCCACCCAGGGGGGTCCCCATCCCCGGGGGTCCCCGAGCGGGGGTCGCGGTTCCACCCGCGCTCCCCATCCTGAGGGATCCCGTGTGGTGGGGGGGGGGCGGTTCCCCCTCACGGCTTCCCCCCGGCCCCTTCAGGCCCGGCCCCGGCTCCCGCAAGGCGGGGCCGCACTGGCCGGCCCCAGAGCCGCCTCCCCGCGCCCCTGCAACCCAGGGCAGCCCCCAAAGAGCCCCGGGCTCGCCGCCGGCCCCGCACCAATGTCGCTGTCCAGGCCCCGCCGCCGGGTCCCGCCCGCTCCGCTCGGCTCCTCCGCGACAAGATGGCGGCCGCGGCCGCTGCCACCCGCCGCCCCCTCCCTGCGCGCGCTAGGCCCCGCCCCCCGCGCTCTCCCATTGGTCGGCCGCGCCCGGCACCGCGCTCTCATTGGTTGTCTCCTCCCGCCACCGCCCGCCCCCCTTCCTGCCCGCCTCACCCGACGCGAGGATTGGGCGGGCGCGCCCCGGCTGGCCACGCCTCTTTTCCTGCCGCAGAGCCCCGGATGAGGAAGGCCACGCCCCTTGCGCAGCCTCGTGATACGGCACGGCGCGCACCGCCCAGACGGCGGCCGAGAGGGGACACGGGGCTGAAAAGGGCGGAGTGCGGGGGGCTATGGATGTGTACGGGGGGGTCTGGGAGCTTTAGAGGCCCTTGGGGAGCTATAGGGACTCAAGTGGGGTTTTTTGGGGGGTTATAGGGGCCGATCAGAGCCTCGTAGAAGCGCTTAAAGAACCCACAGGAAACGGCGGAAGACTTTACGTAGTGTCATCCGGGATTGCACAACTTTGTAGATCTGTATAGAAAAATTTAAATAAAGGCCTCCGAAGAAACGCAGGAAGCCTAAGGGGGTTCCCCAGAGCCACAAAGGGCTTCACGCAGGGGCGTGGGGAGAACCTGAGGGGGCTATAGGGGACCGAGGGGGGGTATGCGGCAGCCCAGGAGGAGCGTGGGGAGCCTCGGGGGTCTCCAGAGCCCTAGACGGGCTCACTCGTAGGCTATGTGGGGCTTGAGTGGCTGTAGGGGGCCATGGGGGGCCCCATAGGGGCTGTGGGGAGCTACAGGGAAACATGGGAGGGGCCGTGGGGACCAGGGCGCCATTTCCGCGTGGTGTCGCTGTCTGGTGACGTCACAGAGCCGCAAGGTGCGCTGGGAGATGCAGTCTCTTGAGCACACAGGAGAGGCCGCGGGGGCCAGAGCGCCATTTCCGCATGGTGTCGCTGTCTTGTGACGTCATGGACCCGCAGGGGTCGCTGGGAGATGAAGTTTCTGGTTCCTCCCCCAAAATAAAAGGCACAGGAGTCGGGGGGGGACCCAGAACTTTATTCACAAACCAACACCGGGGTCCGGGGTCACTCCGGGGGAGCGGCTGAGGGTCTGAGGGTCACTCCGGGGGGGGCAGTGGGAGGCGCTTGGGGTCGTAGTAGTTGGAGGTGAGCAGGGGCTCCCCACAGCGCTCCCGCTCCCGCACCAGGATCTCGGCCTCGCGCCGCGCCCACTGCTGCAGCCTGCGGGGGAGGGGATGGACAGGTGAGCCCCACACCTCGGGGATCCATGGGGACATCCCAAACCCCCGGCCAGGGGTCCAAATTCCTCCCTCCTCAAAGGACCAGGTGTCCCTATAGGTCCCCATACACCCCCCAGATTTTGAGGTCCAGGATTTAGGAGTCCACCCTAACCCCCCCTCAGCCTCCTATATGCCCCCACAGGGCTCTGTAGCCCCCTAAATCCTCTCCTGGATCCCTCATGGGCTCCTATAGACACCCCCAGAGCTGCCAAGGGCCGTCTAGACCCCAAAACCCCCCAGAGAATTATTAGAAATCCCTGTAGGCTGTACAAGGGGTCTTGTTTGCCCCCAAATTCCCTTGGAAGCTCCTGTAGAACTCTCAGGAGACCCTACAACACTCACAGACTCCCCAAAAAAACCCTATAAACCCCAAAAACGTACGGAAGCTATGGAGCAACTCTCAAATACAAGCTCCCCTTGGGGCTCTCTCCCTCCCCCCTTTACCGTGAGGGGTTTCCTAGGTGAGACCCCCCAATCACGGACCCGTAGTCGGGCAGGTAATGGACGAAGACAGAGCCCAGGACGATGGCGATGGAGATGCCGGCCAGGAAGGCGGCGCGCATGTTCAGCACGTCGGCCTCGGGGTCGGCCGAGAAGCCGTGATAGTCGGGGTTCTGTGTGGGGAGGGTCGTGTGAATCCCCTGCCCCGCCCAGGTACCCCCAGGTGTATCCCAGCCTCTCCTCCAGGACCCCCAGGTGTGCCCCAGCCCCTCCTCAGGAGCACTGGGCCAAAGGAGCCACCTGAGCCCCGACCCCAGGTGTGTCCCTGTCCTCAATCCCAGCACTGGCCACGCCCTTCCCTGAACCACACCCACGGTCCCCAGGTGTGTCCCCAGTCCTATTTAATCCCAGGTCACGCCCCCTCCAGGCCACGCCCCTTTACAGGCACACAATCACCTGAGCAGGGTGAAGCCCAGCCCACATTAGGCCCCGCCCATAAAGCCACGCCCCTTTCCCGATGCCCTCAAAACTCTCAAAGCCCCGCCCACAACATTTACACCACGCCCATTCCAACTAAGCCACGCCCCTTTCCAGTCATGTACATTAAACCCCCAAGAGTGGCCCCGCCCAAAGCCACGCCCTCTCAAACAGACCACGCCCACCCACAATCCCCACACAAACCCCGCCCCGCCCTTCCCGCTTTGCCCTTGGCCGCTCACCTTCCTCTGCGCCACCAACATCGGCTCCTCCTCGTGCGCATCGGCCCCGAGCGGCCGCGGCAGCGCCACGGCCCCGGGCGACCCCGCCGAGCGGCCCCGAGCCCCGGCGGGCAGCGCCCGCAGCGCCCGCAGCGCCCGCCACAGCGCCGCCATCTTGCCCCGCCGCTTCGACTCGCCTCTTCCGCTCAACCCGGCCAATCGCAACCTCGCATTGCCGTTTCGTCCCGCCCTCGCGCCGAACAGCCAATCACAGCGCTGCGCTTACGTTGGCCCGCCCCATTCACTCACGATGGCCGCGCCCACTTTTGCGCTGCAGCCAATCATAGCCAGCCGTAAGGCTGCACCGCCCACTCTACAGCACGAACCAATAAGAACGCGGTGTTTTTTGACTGGCGGGATCATCGACCAATGGAACCGCGGCGAGGGCGGGCGCGCGGGACGGGCCCGGCGGAGCGGGAGCGGCGCCGCCATTTTGGTGCCGGGGAGCGGCGGCGGCGGCGGCGCCGGGGAAGGTCGGGACGGCCGTGAGGGGCGGGACGGGCCCGGCCGGGATGGGGAGGGGTCTGAGGGGAGAGGAGGAGCCGACCGGGAGGGGAGGAGCCGACCGGGAGGGGCGGGGCTGACCGGGAGGGGCGGGGCTGAACAGAACTCCCGGTGCAGTTTGTGAGGGAGGGGGTGTGAGAGCGGGAACCGGGGCTGGATTTTTAATGCTAATTAAGGGGTGTGGCCTTGTATGTTAATTAGAGGGCGTGTGCTTGCATACTAATTAGGGGCGGGGTATGAGGGTGGTCGTGTCTGCTCCTCCTCCCCTGCACAGGGCCCAGTGGTTCCCAGTTCATCCCAGTTCCACCTTCATTTCCCCCTTGTTCCCCTTTGGGCCTTCCCAGTTTGCCATAAAATATTCCAGCCATTCCTCCCAGTCCATCCCGGTGCTTTTCCAGGTCATTCAGGTCTCTTCCCATTGAACCCAGTCCATCCCAGTAACCCCCCAGTTCCTCCCAGTCTCACCGGTTGCTGCCCTCACAGGTGCTGGCACCATGGAGTACGAGCGCAGGTGAGGGGGGACCTGGGGATCCCCAAAACTCGGGATCGGGTTGGGGGGTGGGAACATCTGGGCAGCTGTTGAAGACCCCCCATCAAATGGAATTCAGTATTTTGGGGAGGTCAGGGGACATTTGGGGGCACCTCAGGGGGCATTTGGGGACTACTGAGGGCACAGGGGACTTTGGAGGGATCCTGGAGCATGAAAAGAACCATTTGGGGTCCAGATTTGGGGTGCAGGTTTGGGGTCCAGGATTTAAGGTGCAGATTTGGGATGCAGATTTGAGGTCCAGGATTTGAGGTCCAGATTTGGGGTGCAGGTTTGGGGTCCAGGATTTAAAGTGCAGATTTGGGATGCAGATTTGGGGTCAGGATTTGTTGTGCAGATTTGAGGTGCAGGTTTGGGGTCCAGGATTTGTTGTGCAGATTTGAGGTCCAGATTTGGGGTGCAGGTTTGGAGTCCAGGATTTGTTGTGCAGATTTGAGGTGCAGGTTTGGGGTCCAGGATTTAAGGTGTAGATTTGGGATGCAGATTTGAGGTCCAGGATTTGTTGTGCAGATTTGAGGTCCAGATTTGGGGTGCAGGTTTGGGGTCCGGGATTTAAGGTGCAGATTTGGGGTCAGGATTTGTTGTGCAGATTTGAGGTGCAGGTTTGGGGTCCAGGATTTAAGGTGTAGATTTGGGATGCAGATTTGAGGTCCAGGATTTGTTGTGCAGGTTTGGAGTCCAGGATTTAAGGTGCGGGATTTGGGATCCAGATTTAGGGTCCAGATTTGGGCTCCAGGATTTGTTGTGCAGATTTGGGGTCTAGATTTGGGATGCAGATTTAAGACCCAGGATTTGGGCTCCAGGATTTGTTGTGCAGATTTGGGCTCCAGGATTTGAGGTTCAGATTTTGGGGACCCCCAGAGCTCTGGGCCCCACTGACCCTGACCCCCCCTCCCAGGGGTGGCCGTGGGGACCGCACGGGGCGTTACGGGGGTGCCCCTGCCCCCTCCGAGGACGGCTCCCGCACCCAGCGGGATCACGACTATCGCGACATGGACTACAGAGGTTATGGGGGACCCCCCGAGGGACCCCCCAATGCCGGGACCCCCCCTCAGGTGCGTGTGGGGAGCTGGGGAGGGGTCTCAGGTGGGTGCTGAGTTTTATTTTTATTTTGTTCAATGGGTGAGATGGTGTTTGTTGTTTGGGTTGGGATGGTTGTTGGATTTTTATGTGTGTTGTGGTTTTGTAAGCTGTGATTTTTATGGTGTTTTGGTGAAATGAGCTAAAAATATGATAAATATATAAATAGAATAACTAAGCAAATATAGCTAGCAGTAATGAAATAATACAAAGTATGTAAATGTACATTAAGTAATTATATAAATTAAATATAAATAATTAAATATTATATTATTTATATATAATATAATGAATAATTGAAGTTATAAATAAAACTTATAAAATTTATAAATTTATAATCTATAAAAATTTTAAAAGTCATAAATAATTAAATATTATATATAAATATTATAAATAGAATTTGTAGACTTATAATTTATAAAAAATTAAAATTCATAAGTAATTTAATATTATATATTAAATATAAATAATATTTGTAATTATAAATATTACAAAATATATACAATCAATTTTTAAAAATTTTGTAATTTTTAATATATAAAAACATAATAAAATTAACTTTTAGAAGATCTCTTAAGGATAACCTGTTGAATTAAAAAACCATACTTGAATTGTTCATATTTCTAATTCAGCGCCTAACTGTGATTTGTAATATAAATTTTTTTGCCTGATTTTGAAGCATTACTTAAGTTCATGATGAAGAAGGTGAGGAACAGGGATTAACTTTTATTTTAAAAACTTTTGTTCTATGTATGTACTATTATAAAGCTCTATAAGGTTTTTTTAATATGACATTACCTGCTTTTAGGTAAATTTTGCGCTTATAATTTCAGAGGTTTTATTTAATTTTGGAAGTTTTCTTTATGATTCCAGGTTAAACACAGTGGTTTTTTTTGGCAGTTATTATTTTTTAGTACAGAAAATACAAAACCTCAGTGCCTCCCTCCCCTGTTCCAGGGCTCCTACGAGAGCACGGAGCCGCCCCGGAAGCGGGAGCCGCCCCGGGAGCCTCCCCGGGAGCCCCCGGCGCTGCCGTTCGGCGCTGATGGCGATTACCGGGACCAGGATTACCGGGAGGGCGCCGAGGAGGAGCCGCGGGCCAGCACCATCGTCATGCTGCGCATGCTGCCCCAGGCGGCCACCGAGAACGACGTAAGCCCCGCCCCTGCCGAGGCCACGCCCCCTCCAGAGATAGCCCCGCCCCTATCCACAGTGCCCCGCCCCCCCTCGCCATGATGGCACCACCGCCTCTTCATCATGGCCCCGCCCCCTGTCGCCATGTCAGGTCTCACTTCTGAGATGGCTCCGCCCACTAGCTGGGATGGCCCCACCCCTCCTTGCTGTGGCTCCGCCCCCTGCCATGGTGGCCCTGCCCCCTAGCTGGGATGGCCCCACCCCCCCTTTGCTGTGGCTCCGCCCCCTGCCATGATGGCACCGCTCTCTTCTGGGATGGCCCCACCCCTTTTCATCATGACCCCACCCCCTTCTGCAATGGCTCATTTCACTTCTGAGATGGCTCCACCCCCTAGCTGGGATGGCCCCACCCCTCTGTCCTGTGGCTCCGCCCCCTGCCATGATGGCACCGCTCCCTTCTGGGTTGGCCACGCCCCCTGGTTGGGATGACCCTACCCCATCCCAATCTGGGCTGGCCCCACCCCCCTAGCTCAGATGGCCCCACCCCTCTTCATCATGGCCCCGCCCCCTGCCGTGGTGGCACTTCTGACTTCTGGCATGGCCCCGTCCCAATTTAGGATGGCCCCGCCCCCTTCCTTGGATGGCCCCACCCCTCTTTGCTGTGGCCCCGCCCCCTGCCATGATGTCCCCATGTCCTCTCCAGGCCCTGACCTGGTGTCCCAGGTGATGTGGCCATGTCCGTGTGTCCCCATGTCCCTGTGGGTGCTGTCCTGTGTCCCCATGTCCTCATGCCCCCATGCCCCAGGTGACGTTTCCCTGTGTCCCCATGCCCCTGTGTCCCCATGGGTGTTGTCCCCGTGTCCCTGTGGGTGCTGTCCTGTGTCCCAGCTGCTGTGTCACGGTGTCCCCATGTCCCTGTGTCCCCGTGTCCCCACAGATCCGGGCACAGCTGCAGGCCCAGGGGGTGCAGCCCCGTGAGGTGCGGCTGATGCGCAACAAATCCTCAGGTGAGTCTGACCTGGGCCCCTCCCCTGCTCACCTGGGCCCCTCCCCCTCACCTGGGCTCCTCCCCCTCACCTGGGCTCCTCCCCCTCACCTGGGCCCCTCCCCATCTCACCTGGGCCCCTCCCCTGGGCTCTCTTTAGGATGGGGGGCACCCTGACATCCGGGTCCCTTGGAGGGAGGAGGGTCCCTGCCCTGCCCTGCCCATGCCAGGGGGCACCCAGGGGGGGTGGTCCTGTTCCTTAGGGGGCACCCAGGGGTGCTGGTTCCATCCCCAGGGGCACCCACTGGTGTCTGTCTCCTCCTTAGGGGCACCCAGGGGTGTCCGTCCCCTCCTTAGCAGCACCTAGGGGTGTCTGTCCCCTCCCTAAGGGCACCCAGGGGTGTCCGTCCCCTCCTTAGCAGCACCCAGGGGTGCCTGTCCTCTCCCCAGGGGGCACCCAGGGGTGCTGGTTCCATCCCCAGGGGCACCCAGGGGTGTCTGTCCCCTCCCTAGGGGTTTCTGTCCCTCCCAATGAGCTCCCTCAGGTCCTGGTTCCATCTTTAGGAGCACCCAGGGGTGCCAGTCTCATCTTCAGAAGCACCCAGGGGTGCTTCTGGCAGGCTTAGGGGGCACCCAGGGGTGCTGGACTGACCTCAAAGGGTACCAGGGCTGCTGATCCCATTCCTAGGAGCACCCAGGGGTGCTGGTCCTTCTTCTTAGGAGCACCCAGGGGTGCTGGTCCCATCCCCAGGGGCACCCAGGGGTGTCAGTTCCCTCCCTAGGGGCACCCAGGGGTGCTGTACCAGACTCAGGGGGCACCCAGGGGTGCCTGTCCCCTCGATAGGAGCACCCAGGGGTGCTGATCCTGTTCTCAGAAGCACCGAGAGGTCCGTGTGTCTTTTTGGGAGCACCCAGGGGTGCTGGTCCCATCCCCAGGGGCACCCAGGGGTGCCTGTCCCCTCTCTAGGAGCACCCAGGGGTGCTGGTCCTCTCCCAAGGGGCACCCAGGGGTGCCAATGTCATCTCTAGGGGCACCCAGGGGTGCCTGTCCCCTCCCTAGGGGCACCCAGGGATGTTTCTGCCAGGCTTAGGGGGCACCCAGGGGTGCTGGTCCCATCTCTAGGGGCACCCAGGGGTGCTGCACCGGACTGGAAGGGCACCAGGGCCGCTGATCCCATTCCCAGGGGCACCCAGGGGTGCTGGTACCATTCCCCAGGGGCACCCGGGGGTGCCTGTCCCCTCCCCAGGAGCACCCAGGGGTGCTCATCGTTTCCCCAGGGGCACCCAGGGGTGCCGGGTTTGTCTTTAGGGAGCACCCAGGGGTGCCCATCCTGTCTTTGGGAACACCCAGGACTGTCTGTCCCCTCCCTAGGGGCACCCAGGGGTGCCAGTTCCATCTCTAGGGGCACCCAGAGGTGTCTGTCCCTTCCTCAGGAGCACCCAGGGGTGCTGATCTCCTCCGTAGGGGCACCCAGGGGTGTCAGTTTCCTCTTTAGGGGCACCCAGGGGTGCTTGTCCCCTTCTCAGGAGCACCCAGGGGTGCTGCACCAGGCTCAGGGGGCACCCAGGGCTGTTTGAACCCATTCTAGGGGCACCCAGGGGTGCCATTCTTGTCATCAGGGAACACCCACAGGTGCTCTTTTTACCCTTAGGAGCACCCAGGGGTGCTTTTCCTTTCTTAGGAGCACCCAGGGGTGCTTGTCCCTTCTTCAGGAGCACCCAGGGGTGCTGTGCCAGCCTCGGGGGGCACCCAGGGGTGCCAGATCCAAAGCCAGGGATGCCAGACCTGTCCCCACATTCAGCCTAAGGGGCACCCAGGGGTGCCAGCCCCCTCCTCAGGAGCACCCAGGGGTGCTGAGCCCAGCTTTAGGGGCACCCAGGGGTGCCAGACCTGTCCCTAGATCCCTCCCCAGGAGCACCCAGGGGTGCTGAGCTCAGCTTTAGGGGCACCCAGGGGTGCCAGCCCAGCTCAGGTCGCACCCAGGTTCTGGAGGGGCACCAGGAGCACCCATAGGCTTCACCTTGGGGGTCCCCCGGGGGGGTTCCAACACCACCCATGGGTGCCCTGCCCTTACCCCAGCGGGTCCCTGGGTGCCCTGTCCGTCCGTCCCCCCCCCTCCCCCACCCACCGCACCCCAGGGGGTCCCAGAGCACCCATGGGTGCCCCCCATGCCCCCCCTCCCCCGTGGCCCATTCCAGGTCAGAGCCGTGGATTCGCCTTCGTGGAATTCCATCACGTGCAGGAGGCGGCCAGGTGGATGGAGGCCAACCAGGTGGGGGAGGGGCCGACGAGAAGGGGGAGGGGCCAACAGGTGGGGGAGGGGCCAATGGAAAGAGGGTGGGGCCATTAAAAAGGGGGAGGGGCCAATAAAAAGGGGGAGGGGTGAGGGCCTTGCCAACAGGTGGGGGGGGAAATCAAAAGAGAGAGGGGCCAATGAAAAGGGGGAGGGGCCAACAGGTGGAGGAGGAGCAAATGGGAGGGGGAGGAGCCAATGAAAAAGGGGAGGGGCCAATAGTAGGGGAGGGGCCACTGAAAAGGGGGAGGGACCAATAGGTGGGGAGGAGCAAGCAGGAGGGGGAGGGGCCAATGAAAAGGGGGAGGAGCCAATAGGTGGAGGACGAGCCAATGACAAGGGGGAGGGGCCAACATGTGGAGGAGGAGCAACCTGGGGGAGGAGCCAATGAAAAGGGGGAGGGGCCAACAGGTGGAGGAGGAGCAAATGAAAAGGGGGAGGGGCCAATAGGTGGGGAGGAGCAAGCAGGAGGGGGAGGAGCCAATAGGTGGGGAGGGGCGAGGGGAGGGGCCAATTGGGGTGGGGCCAACAGGTGGGGGAGGGGCAAATATGGGTGGGGCAGAGCAGGTGGGGGAGAGGAGGGGTGGGGACAGGGTTAATGGGATGGTGCTGGTGTGTACTGGTTTGTACTGGTCCGTACTGGTCCGTACCAGTCTCTACTGGTCCATACTGGTCCGTACTGGTCCGTACTGGTGGCCGTGTCCCCGCAGTCAGGGATGGGCACAGAGGCCTCATGCGTGTCCCAGTGTTCCCAGTACAGCTGCTGGTGCCACCTGGGACGACCTCTGCTGCCCCTCAGAACGGCTCCTGGTGCCCCCCCTGAATTCCAGCCTTGGCACCCCCAAATTCCTGCCCTGGTGCCCCCCTGGTGCCCCCCAATTCCAACCCTGGTGCCCCTCAAAGCGAGTCCTGGTGTCCCAAAATTCCAGCCATGGCACTGCCCTGGTTTACAGTTTGGGGGTCCCCTGGTGCCCCCTCAGATTTGTGTTCTTGTGCCCCCCCAGGTGTCCCCCAGATTCACACCCTGGTGTCCCCCAAATGTCCCCCAGATTTGTGTCCTGATGCCCCCCAGGTGTCCCCCCAGATTTGTGTCCTGGTGCCCCCCAGGTGTCCCCCAGATTCACACCCTGGTGCCCCCCAGATTTGTGTCCTGGTGCCCCCCAGGTGTCCCCCAGATTTGTGTTCTTGTGCCCCCCCAGGTGCCCCCCAGATTCACACCCTGGTGCCCCCCAGATTCACACCCTGGTGCCCCCCAGGTGTCCCCCAGATTTGTGTCCTGATGCCCCCCAGACGCCCCACAGTTCCAGCCTTGGTGCCCCCCAGGTGCCCCCCAGATTCACACCCTGGTGCCCCCCAGATTTGTGTCCTGATGCCCCCCTGGTGTCCCTGAATTCCAACCCTGGTGCCCCCCAATTCCAACCCTGGTGCCCCCCAGATGCCCCCCAATTCCAGCCTTGGTGCCCCCCAGGTGCCCCCCAGTTTCAGCCTTGGTGCCCCCCAGGTGCCCCCCAGATTTGTGTCCTGGTGCCCCCCAAGTGTCCCTGAATTCCAACCCTGGTGCCCCCCAGATTTGTGTCCTGATGCCCCCCAGGTGCCCCACAGTTCCAGCCTTGGTGCCCCCCAGGTGCCCCCCAGATTCACACCCTGGTGCCCCCCAGGTGTCCCCCAGATTTCTGTCCTGATGCCCCCCAAGTGTCCCTAAAATTCCAGCCCTGGTGTCCCCACCTCAAACCTTGCTGCCCCCCAATTCCAGCCCGGGTGCCCCCCAGATTTGAGTCCTGGTGCCCCCCCTGTGCCCCCCCGGGCCAGGCTGGGTCACCCTGTGCCCCCCCTGACCCCCTGTGCCCCCCTTAGGCCGGGCTGACCCTGCTGGGGCACCGCGTGTCCCTGCACTACAGCGACCCCAAACCCAAAATCAACGAGGACTGGCTCTGTGCCAAGGTGAGGGGCACTGGGAGGGCACTGGGAGGGCACTGGGAGGGCACTGAGGGGTACTGGGAGGGACTGGGGGACACTGGGGGGGCACTGGGGGGCACTGGGAGGCAGTGGGGGGGCACTGGGGGACATTGGGAGGGCACTGGAAGGCTCTGGGAAGGACTGGGAGGGCATTGGGGGGCACTGGGAGGCAGTGGGGTGGCACTGGGGGACACTGGGAGTGCATTGGGGTGCACTGGGTGGCACTGGGAAGGACTGGGAGCGCATTGGGGGACACTGGGAAGGACTGGGTGGCACTGCGAGGGCATTGGGGGGCATTGGGGGACACTGGGAAGGACTGGGGGACACTGGGAGGGCATTGGGAGCGCATTGGGGGACACTGGGAAGGACTGGGGGACACTGGGAGGGCATTGGGGGGCATTGGGGGACACTGGGTGGCACTGGGGGACACTGGGAGGGCACTGGGAGAGCACTGGGTGGTAATGGGGGCCACTGGGAGGGCACTGGGGGACACTGGGCAGGCATTGGGGGACACTGGGAAGGACTGGGTGGCACTGGGAGGGACTGGGTGGCACTGGGAGGGACTGGGGGGCACTGAGAGGGCACTGGGAGGGACTGGGGGGCACTGGGGGAGACTGGGAGGGCACTGGGAGGGACTGGAAGAGCATTGGGGGGGCACTGGGAGGGCATTGGGGTGCACTGGGGGACACTGGGAGGGCATTGGGGGACACTGGGGGAGCACTGGGGGGTCCTGAAAGGATTTTGGGGAGATCCTGAGGAGTTTTGGAGAGGTCCTGGACAGCTTGAGAGGTTTTGGGGTGCTAAATTTTTGGGGTGCTGCATTTTTGGGGTGCTGCATTTTTGGGGTGCTCTGGGAGGGGTGGGTTTGGTGGGGGATCCAGGGCGGTTTTGGGGTTTGGAAGTTTTGGGGTGTGACAAACTCGGGTTGTGACATTTTTGGGGTGTGACACTTTTGGGGTGTGACACTTTTGGGGTGTGATATTTGGGGGTGCAGTGGATTTGGGGTGCAGCAGTTTTGGGGTGTGACACTTTTGGGGTGCAGCAGTTTTGGGGTTGTGACGTTTTTGGGCTCTGACATTTTTGGGGTTCCCAGTGTGGGGTGCAGAACTTCAAGCGCCGTGAGAAATGTTTCAAGTGTGGCGTCCCCAAAGCCGGTGAGTGACCCCAAATCCTGGGATTTTACCCCAAAACTTTGGGGGGCGCTCCCCTAAACTGCCTCAAACCTCCCCACAATTATTGGGGTACCCCAAACATGCAGGGGAACCCCTGGTTTTGGGGTTGAATCCCCACTTTTGAGGGATTCAACCCCAAGGGATTTGATTTTGGGGTTTCCTGGGGTTTTTTGGGGTTCTATCACTGATTTTTGGGGTTTTTTTGGGGTTCAATCCCTGATTTGGGTTTTTTTGGGTTGTTTTGGGGTTTTGTGGGGTTTTTTTTAGGGTTCCATCCCTAAATTTGGGGTTTTTTTGGGGGGGTTTGGGGTTTTTGGGGGGGCTCAATCCCTGATTTTTGGGGTTGTTTGATTTTTTTGGGGGTTCAGTTTCTGATTTGGGGGCTTTTTTTTTGGGTTTTCTTTTGGGGTCCAGTCTCTCATTTTGGGGGGCACAATCCCTGATTTTGGGCCTTTTTTTTTTTTTGGTTTTTTTTGGGGTCCAGTCTCTGATTTTGGGTTTTTTTGAGATTTTAAATCCCTGATTTTGGGGTATTTTTGGGGGTATTTTTTGGGGGTCCAGTCTCTCATTTTGTGGGGCACAATCCCTGATTTTGGGCCTTTTTTGGGGGGCATTTTTTTGGGGTCCAGTTTCTGATTTTGGGGCTTTTTTTGGGGGTCCAATCTCTCATTTTTTGGGGCACAATCCCTGATTTGGGGCCTGGTTTTCTTGGGTTTTTTTTGGGGCCCAATTTCTGATTTTGGGGTTTTTTTTGGGGGGGCCCAGTCTCTGATTTTGTGGGGCACAATCCCTGATTTTGGGCCTTTTTTTTTGGGGTTTTTTTTTGGGTCCAGTTTCTGATTTTGGGGCTTTTTTGGGGGGGGTTTTTTGGGGTCCAGTCGCTGATTTTGTGGGGCACAATCCCTGATTTTGGGCCTTTTTTGGGGGGGATTTTTTTGGGCTCCGTTTTCTGATTTGGGGTTTTTTGAGAGGTCAAATCCCTGATTTTGGGCCTTTTTTTGGGGATTTTTTTGGGGTCCATTTTCTGATTTTGGGGGGTTTTTTTGGGGTCCAGTCTCTGATTTTGGGGGGCACAATCCCTGATTTTGGTCCTTTTTTTTTTTGGGTTTTTTTGGGGGTCCAGTCTCTCATTTTGGGGGCACAATCCCTGATTTTGGGCCTTTTTTTTGGGTTTTTTTTTGGGTCCAGTTTCTGATTTTGGGCTTTTTGGGGGGTTTTTTTTTGGGGTCCAGTCTCTCATTTTGGGGGGCACAATCCCTGATTTTGGGCCTTTTGTTGGGGGGGAATTTTGGGGTCCAGTTTCTGATTTTGGGGTTTTTTGAGAGGTCAAATCCCTGATTTTGGGCCTTTTTTTGGGGATTTTTTTGGGGTCCATTTTCTGATTTTGGGGGGTTTTTTTTGGGGTCCAGTCTCTGATTTTGTGGGGCACAATCCCTGATTTTGGGCCTTTTTTGGGGGTCCAATTTCTGATTTTGGGGATTTTTTTTGGGGTCCAATTTCTGATTTTGGGGATTTTTTTTTGGGGGTGCAGAGGCCGAGCAGAAGGGCCCGGGGGGTCCCCGGCCAGAGCTGGTCCCGGGGGGGGGGAGGGGGGCTCCTGCCCCTCCCCCAACCCTACGGCCCCACCCTCGGGGGGTCCCCCCGGGGGTTCCCAGGGGGGCACCGAGCCCGGAGCTGACAACGCCAACGACAGTGAGTGCAGGGCCAGGGGGGTTTGGGGGGGCATTTCTGGGATTTTGGGGATTTTTGGGGATTTTTTTCGGGAATTTTGGGGGATTTTTTAAGGAAATTTAGAGGATTTTGAGGGGGGGGGGGATTTGGGAATTCTGGGGGGTTTTTGATGGGGGGGGGGGCTTGAAGGGGAACCTCGGGGAGGATTGGAGGGATTCAGGTGTTCCCCAGTGTTCTCCTAGGTGTGGGCCAAGGTGTCCCCAGGTGTGCCCTCAGGTGTCCCCCAGGTGTGCCTGAGTATCCCAGGTGTGCCCCCAGGAGTCCCCCTCAGTTATCCCCAGGCGTCCCAACTGTCCTCAGGTATCCCCAGGTGTGCCTCCAGATGTTCCCAGGTGTACCCCCAGGTATCCTGAGTTATCTCCAGGTGTGCCCAGATGTTCCCAGGTGGATTCAGGTGCCCACAGGGTGTGTCTAGGTGTGCCCAGGTGCCCCCAGGTATATGCCCAGGTGTTCCCAGATGTGCCCAGGTGTATTGCCCCCAGGTTGTGTCCCCAGGTATGCCCAGGTGCCCCCAGGTGTGCCCCCAGGTATCCCCAGGTGTGTTCAGGTGTGCCCAGGTGCCCCAGGTGTGCCCCAAGGTATGCCCAGGTGTTCTCAGGTGTGCCCAGGTGTGCCCCCAAGTACCCTGAGGTATCTCCAGGTGTCCCCAGGTGTGCCCCCAGGTATCTCCAGGTGTGCCCAGGTGTGCCCAGCTGTGCCCCCAAGTATCCTGAGGTATCTCCAGGTGCCCCCAGGTCTGCCCAGGTGCCCCCAGGTGCCTTCAGGTGTGCCCAGGTGTCCGTTGCTGTGTCCCCCCAGCCATCATCCTGCGGAACCTGCACCCCCAGAGCAGCCTGGAGTCCATCCTGGCCGGCCCTCGCCCCCTTCGCGGCGCTCTCGGCCGCCAACGTGCGCGTGATCAAAGATCGGCAAACGCAGCTGAACCGCGGCTTCGCCTTCGTGCAGCTCAGCACCATCGTGGTACTGGGGGGGAACTGGGGGGGACTGGGAGGGACTGGGAGGGACTGGGGACACTGGGAGCACTGGGAGGGACTGGGAGGGACTGGGAGGGACTGGGGACACTGGGGAGACTGGGGGGACTGGGAGGGACCAGGGTGCGTGATCAAAGATTGGCAAACGCAGCTGAACCGCGGCTTTGCCTTTGTGCAGCTCAGCACCATCGTGGGACTGGGAGCACTGGGGAGGGACTGGAAGGGACTGGGAGCACTGGGAGGGAGCTGGGAAACTGGGAGGGCCTGGGGGATTTGGGGGGAACTGGGGGCGTGATCAAAGATGGGCAAACGCAGCTGAACCGTGGCTTCGCCTTCGTGCAGCTTAGCACCATCGTGGGACTGGGAGCACTGGGTGGGACTGGGGACACTGGGAGCACTGGGAGGGACTGGGAGGGACTGGGGGAACTTGGGAGGGACTGGGGGATTTGGGGGGGAACTGGGGCGTGATCAAAGATGGGCAAACGCAGCTGAACCACGGCTTTGCCTTTGTGCAGCTCAGCACCATCGTGGTACTGGGGGGACTGGGAGGGACTGGGAGCACTGGGAGGGACTGGGGGATTTGGAGGGAACTGGGGCGTGATCAAAGATGGGCAAACGCAGCTGAACCGCGGCTTCGCCTTCATGCAGCTCAGCACCATCGTGGTACTGGGAGCACTGGGAGGGACTGGGAGGGACTGGGGGAACTGGGGGAACTGGGAGGGACTGGGGGGGGGACTGGGAGGGACTGGGAGGGGACTGGGAGGGACTGGGGGATTTGGGGGGAACTGGGGCATGATCAAAGATGGGCAAATGCAGCTGAACCGTGGCTTTGACTTTGTGCAGCTCAGCACCATCGGGGGACTGGGAGCACTGGGCAGGACTGGGAGCTCTGGGAGCACTGGGAGGGACTGGGGGAACTGGGAAGGACGGGGGGCGTGATCAAAGATGGGCAAACGCAGCTGAACCGCGGCTTTGCCCTTCATGCAGCTCAGCACCATCGTGGTACTGGGAGCACTGGGAGGGACTGGGGGGGACTGGGAGGGGACTGGGGGGGACTGGGAGGGACTGGGAGCACTGGGGGGGACTGGGAGGGACTGGGCAGAGTGAGGGGGACTGGGAATTCCTGGGATTTACTGGGGGGACACTGGGGGAGACTGGAGAGAAGGAACAGAGGGGGATTGTGGGGGTTTAGTCACCATCATGGCGGGAACTGGGAGGGACTGGGAGAGACTGGGAGGGACCAGAGGGGCTGGATGCCACCGCTGGCCCCACCCATGCCCCGCCCATAGCCCCTGCAGGAGGCTGCACAGCTGCTGCAGATGCTGCAGGCCCTGCACCCCCCCCCTGCACATTGACGGCAAAAGCATCAAACGTGGAGTTCGCCAAGGGCTCCAAGAGGTGAGGGGGCGTGGCACCGCACATGGGCGTGGGCATTGTGCCAGGGTGTGGCACCACACCTGGGCGTGGCACCGGTCCAGGGTGTGGGCACCGCACCTGGAACCCACCCTGTCCCCACATCCTGCGTTGTTCCCTACACCTGGCACAGGCTCCAACCCCCAGACTCCACCCCCCTGGCACCACACCTGGCACAGGCCCCGCCCCTTAGCCCCGGCACAGGCTCTGCCCCTTAGGCCCCACCCTTGGTTACAGGCCACACCCCTGGCCACCACACCTGGAACAGGCCCCACCCACAGCCCCAGCCCAGTACCTGTGACACTTCCCAGGCTCCGCCCACATCCCTTAAGCCACGACCTCCACGATTAACCCCACCCCACATGCCACACCCTGCCACAAAGCCCCACCTCCTTAGCCAAGCCCCACCCCTTTGCCATTTGGCCCCTCCCACCCAGCCCTTCCCAGGCCTCAGGCCCCCGCCCCTGACACAAAGCTCCACCCGCAGGGATGTGCAGGGGGCGGGGCCTGGGGAGGGGCCCCCTCGTGCCAGCGCCGCCTCCGTCGCCTCCACGGCCATCGCTAGCTGCCCAGTGGGCACTGTCACAGGTGAGGCACACCTGGCAGGTGAGGGCACTGTCACAGGTGAGGGCACTGTCACAGGTGAGGGGCACACCTGGGCAGGTGAGGGCACTGTCACAGGTGAGGGGCATTGTCACAGGTGAGGGCACACCTGGGCAGGTGAGGGCACTGGTCACAGGTGAGGGGCATTGTCTCAGGTGAGGCACACCTGGGCGGGTGAGGGGCACTGTCACAGGTGAGGCACACCTGGGCAAGGGAGGGGCACTGTCACAGGTGAGGGCACTGTCACAGGTGAGGGCACTGTCACAGGTGAGGGGCACACCTGTATGGGTGGGCACTGTCACAGGTGAGGGGCATTGTCACAGGTGAGGGCACACCTGGGCAGGTGAGGGGCACTGTCACAGGTGAGGGGCACTGTCACAGGTGAGGGGCACTGTCACAGGTGAGAGGCACACCTGTATGGGTGGGCACTGTCACAGGTGAGGGGCATTGTCACAGGTGAGGGCAACACCTGGGCAGGCGAGGGCACTGTCACAGGTGAGGGCACCTGTCACAGGTGAGGGCACACCTGTATGGGTGGGCACTGGCACAGGTGAGGGCACTGTCACAGGTGAGGGCATTGTCACAGGTGAGGCACACCTGGGCAGGTGAGGGGCACTGTCACAGGTGAGGGCACTGTCACAGGTGAGGGCATTGTCACAGGTGAGGCACACCTGGGCAGGTGAGGGGCACTGTCACAGGTGAGGGCACTGTCACAGGTGAGGGCATTGTCACAGGTGAGGCACACCTGTATGGGTGGGCACTGGCACAGGTGAGGGCACTGTCACAGGTGAGGGGCACACCTGGGCAGGGGGAGGGCACTGTCACAGGTGAGGGGCACTGTCACAGGTGAGGGGCACACCTGTATGGGTGGGCACTGTCACAGGTGAGGGGCACTGTCACAGGTGAGGGCACACCTGTATGGGTGGGCACTGGCACAGGTGAGCTCTGTCAAAGGTGGGCACTGTCACAGGTGGGTGGGGCTGTGGAGTGGCCTAGGCGTGGCCAATGAGTGGGAGGGGCCTGAGGACTTGAGGGCGGGGCTTTAATGGAGGGGCGGGGCTTGATTAGTGTGAAGGGCCTGATTATCAATGGGGGCGTGGTTTAAACCGAGGAGGCGGGGCCTGTGGGGAAGGGGGTGTGGTTTGATTGTTGTGGGCGTGGTTTCACAATGAGGGGGCGTGGTCAGAGCTGTTCCTGCTCCCACCTTTG